TCCATCAGGAAAGAAGTCAGGCCAGGCGCAGTGGCACACTTCTGTAATCCCAGCAGCTAGGGAGGCTGAGGCAAGAGGATCACGAGTTCAAAGCCAGCYTCAGCAATTTAGCAAGGCCTTAAGCAACTCAGCCAGATCCTGTCTCTAAATTAAAAACCCAAAAGAGGGTTGTGGAAGCGGTTCAGTGTTCAAGCCTCTAGGTTCAATCCCCCGTACTAAAAAGAAAGAAGTCAGATCACTCTGGAAAGTCTCTGAATTTCATCCTCTTTCTTTGTTTTCCTCCCCACTCCAATATCCATGAACTTGTTCTGTGCTCAACCCAGTTCCAACAAGGCCATTTAATTTCCTCTTTGATTTGCCTTCCGTAACAGATTGTGACTTGTAATTCATTGAGCACACATGGAATCCTGAATATCTACTGATTACGTCCCCGAKCACCAAACTCATGGTAATAAGGACAGAGAAAAGATGTCATCTGTTGAGGAGAGCCTAGAAAATGACTGTTTTTGGCGGAAAACTTGTTTTGTCTCATAGACTTGATCTTCACAGTCATTCATGAATGAGTAATGAACTCGGGGTAGATCATGAAGCATTCTCTTAACCCTCTCAACCACATTTGCTGAGGACTGAATAAAAAGAAAGTTACAAGAAGAGGTGATGAAAGATCTCAAAAGAAAAAATACAGTTGCTGTAACATACAACTCTTGAAGGCATGAAATTGGGCAATTCATCTAGTTTACAATCAGTAGTTTTTCTGGCTTTAATCAGGAGTCACCTAAGTAATTTTCTTCTTGGCTTTTTAATTTCAATGTTTATTTCTTATATTATTTTCCAACAGTAAATAAAAATTGAGGGCCATAGCTGAAGGTTCTTTTTTAACGAGAAGGAGCAGAAAAAAAGATCTTGGCTTTGGTATGTAGCATACAGTTTTAATCTAATGTTAGCAGCTTTGTTTTCTCCTCTCAAGGAATGGTTTAAAACATTTTACGTATGCTCATCTCCTTTCTTAATGGGTGATGAGCTGTCCTCAGTAAAGTTTTTAATGGTGTAGAATAACTGGCAATTAAGTAGCACACTCAAAATAGGGCATTAAAAATAGCGATGCTGGCAATCRATGTCGCTAAGTACCACCGCGTTGAGACAGATGAGAGGGGAGAAACTCCCAGAAGTCAGTTTTCAGTGACTGGTGGGAGGCCAGGTCTCTACGCCCAGAAGGACCTGCTGGTCCCAGCAGGCATCATGCAAGTCTGCTAAAGGAAAGCAGCCCTTGCTGCAGGCTTCCAGCCCAGCTTGTGTTCCACAGTGGCCAACATGGGTCCTGCAGAGTTGTTCCCAGCTGTTAGCACCACCTCCAGGTGGTGCATTGATTCATAGGCGCCTCCAGAGGTGGTGGGGTGCAGAGTTTCTTCTTTTTTGTTTGGTTTGCTTTTGCTTTTTCAATCACTTTCTAACAGGTGCACATCAACATGAGGTACTTCCCTAACCTAAAAGTCAGTGGGGCGAGTTTTAGGAGGAGGAGCAGACGGTCAAAAACTTGCCAGCCCGGGTCTATTTCCGTGGCTAGGGGAACATTCAGGGACCTTGCTGGAGGCTTCTACTGAACTCGTAGTCACATCTCTTAAGATTTCTCTTCTTCCAAGAATAGCCCACCTCCTGTGCCTCYGGCGGAGATAATGTTAAGAGATCCTGCTAATAATACATTCCACCTTTCTTTGGGGGAGTTGGAATACTTCTTGTGTATTCAGCCCAGCAGTCAGAAGTAGAGAGTTAAGTTCTATTTTTTTTTTGTTTTGTTTTTCTTTTTTTTTCTTTTTTCCCAAGCATTCCAGCCCAAAGTGAAAGCTGTCTTGCTGAGCAAGAAGACAGCCCTTTAGGGGCTGGGATTGTGTGCCGCTCAGCGGTAGAGCACTYGCCTGGCACAGGCGGGACCTGGGTCCGATCCTCAGCACCACATAAAAATAAAGGCATTGTGTTGTGTCCATCTACACCTTAAAAATAAATATTTAAAAAAGAAGGAGAAGTAGAGAGCCCTTTAGCAGACAATCCTGCAAACAGTGATGACTGCCTGTCATCTGCTGGGTGCTTTCAGGGCCCTTGCTGCTGTGCTGGCCTTGGGGGAGCTCAGGCCAGGAGTTGGAGCGAGGCAGGAATAGGGTCCTCTGAGATGGTGTACCCAGCTCCTTGGCTTCTCCTTTCTCTCTCTCCCTGGCCTCAGGTGTCCTCATCAAGATCTGGGCACGACTCCATTACTTCAAAGTCATGCTGTGACCCTGGCATGCCAGGACACGGGGGCCTTAGTTGATTGGGTTCAAGGGAACCCATTGATCCTTCCATTGTCCAGAGTAGTCTGGACATTGCCTGGTGGGCTCCTGCATCCCACGGGAGAAGGCAAAGGCAGACTGCAGTCACGGGTGGGCTGAGTCACTGGTGGTGAGGCCACGCTCAAGACCCGTGATAAATGAGCGGTGAGACCTGTYGACTCAACCCCCAGGCCACACGTTTGCTGTTCCTCTTAATTTCTTCTCAGTTCCTTTGGACAGTCCACAAAGCTCAAGCTTCCTGTGCCTTCCTTTCTGAACTTTCTTGTGTTCCCGATTTGCTGTAGACCCCTTTGTCTTTTTTTTTTTTTTCTTTTTCTGTACTAGAGGTTGAGCCCAGGGGYGCTTTACCACGGAGCTACAAAACCCAGCTCTTTTTGTTTGTTTGATTTTTAAGCAGTTTCTCTCTAAATTACTAAGGCTGGCCTTGCATTTGCAATCCTCCTGCCTCAGCTTCCCAAGTTGACCCGATTGCAAACCCCTTTGTCATTTTTAAGGGGCCAGTTCTTCAGTGTAGACGGCACCTTCCTGTTCTTCATAGGCCTGTGGCATCCCTGGCCCCAGACACTAAATGATCCCCCTCTTGAAAGTAGCATTCTCAGTTCTGGACACCCCAGGGTTGAGTAAGGGGTGCCCCAGTGGAGACCCAGCGGTGGAGGCTGGGCAGCCCCTTCCTCTCCCATCTAGCCCAGTGTTATCCATCTCTCTTCTCCCCCATCTAAAAGTCTGCTCAGGTCTCAGTGGGACCGATTCCCTGGTGGATTCAGGTATCTAATGAGTGCCCTCTGAGTACCTGCTAACTGTTCCAGGCACTGTTTGAGGAGCTACATGTCCCACGGTGACTAGTTTCCACGCCTATCTGCCCYTTCCCGACCCTACTCCACCTTAATCTTTTATTTTCTTGCTGTGTCAGAAGTGTGTCCACGTCACCCTTCAACCTTTACCCTGATGTCCTGCCCAGGGATCGAGCTTCTCCAAGACAATGGCCCTTTCTATGTTTGTTTGTATCCCTCCTGGAGCTCAGTATGGTCATCTCCACATAGGAATTCAGCAAATGCTCCACTAGTGGACTGATCCAAGGACATGGAGCTACCACCCAGGATATGCTTGTTTATGCAACAGGAAGAAGGATTCTGCCACATCGTTCTTCTAATCTAAAGAGTCTGTCTGTCTTGTCTGCTCTCTGACTGTGATGGGGGAGCAGCTTGGGCTGTATCGGGTGTCCCTGGTAACCAGTGACCTGGACATGTGTGCCAGGTAAGGTGGAATGGCCTGTGTGCTCGCTCCTGACCACCTGTGCACCCCGAGGAGGCCTCAGCCTTTGGGCCATTGCTTAAATGGCCTCCTAATTGTGGGTTTTTGACCCACTTCTTTCCTTGCCCTGGTAGTGCCCTGAGGTGGAAGACGAATGAATGAGAACTAGAGTCGGCAAGAAGAAAAAGAAAGGGCACACACAACTGGGAGCGTGTCTCGATAGAGAAATAGAAGTCTTTCTTATTATTTTATTTGTTTACTTGGAAAATTTCAACACACACACACACATACATCCTATCACTTTAATAAATGAAAAATAAAAAATAATACATTTTCTGTATAAAATGGAAATTGTATATCTTTCACATAAAAAAAAATAGCCAGGAAACTATCATGCTAAGTGAAATAAGCCAATCCCAAAAAACCAAAGGATGAATGAATATTCTCCCTGATATGGGGATGGATGCTGACTCACGATAAGGAGGGGCAGGAATAGAAGCTCATTGGATTACACCAAGGGGAATGAAGGAAAGGGACGGGGGCAGGGAGTAGGAAAGACAATGGAATGAATCAGAACTTTCCTAGTTCATCTATGAATACACAACCAGCGTAACTCCACATCATGTGCAACCACAAGAATGGGAAGTTGTACTCCATGTAGGTATAACATGTCAAAATATACCCTACTGTCGTGTAGATCTAGATTTTTTTTTTTTAATAAACTGAAAAAAAAGGAGATTTAAAAAGTAGCCAGAATAACATACTGACTCCACAGTGGGTTCATCACCTGAGTCCAACAGCTATCTACCTGGGGCCATCTTGCTTCATGAATATGCCACCAATTTCCCCTCCTCCCACCATATTGTTTTACAGCAGATCCCAACATCATATCCTATTATTGATAAGTACTTTGGTGTAAATCTCTAAAAAAAAAAAAGATCTTTCAAAATTTGTCATAATATCATTACCATATCTGAAAAAATATTAGTAATTTTTTTAGATTTCCAGTCAGCCTTCCATGTTTACAACTGGAGAGATGTTTTCAATAGATCGGAAAAATGAGTCAAAAGTTACACCTACTTTGGGAAAAATGCTACAGCTCAAACAGAGCTTTTTTTCTTACAGGGAAGGGGAATAAAGCAATGGGGAAATGGCTTCCGGGAGTAAGAACAAAATAGTTCTGCTCTTTGCCAGGTCAGGTGTCTGGCGCCTCCCCAAGCTCGCCCCCTGGTGGCAGGTGCGCATTGCCAAGGCCTCCGTTAACGCTTCAGGAATGTTCCTTTCGTAACAGGACAGGGCTTTCTAAGTAGTTTAAAATTTGGCCACATGACAAAAAAAATGTGTGTAACAGAGGTTTTTTTAAGTGTTGATCAAGCACATAATTTAAAAGTCAGAATATTAAATAAACATCTCTGCCCTTTCTTCCAGCAGGCAACCCAGAGAACAGCTCTCCGCGCTCTGCCTGACAGGTACATTTTGTCATTTTTATGAACTATAAATTGCTTTATGAAACATCGAGCCCTATTTATTGTGGCATATAATTCATAATCGGATTTTGTCCCTAAAGTATCTGTGAACTGGGATGTTAAACATTTTGCATGCCWCGATCTGTCATGCATGTGTGGAGTTTATTACTGCAAAAATCGCCTTGTTGTATTTCACATAAAGTATGAAGAATCCCTCATTGTGCAATGAAACAAGAGAGAGGAAAACTTAGGGGGGAAGACCTGAATGGCGCTGTAAATCCTGAACTTTGGAATTGGTTGGGATCCGAGCTCATTTTTCAGCAATAAGTACTTCATGTATCGTGCGATGTTTTCTCCACTCTTTCCATATCATCTCACGGGGAGGRATCTGTCTCTGGATGAGTCTTTCTTAAAGGACTTTGTGCACCCACCGTTCATGGTCCTGCACACCAGACTTCTCTCTCCCTGCCGCCTCTTGTTTCTCCTGACCTTTGTTATTGAATGAGATGCATATAGATCTCATCAAAAGACACAAACTGCGGTTGACATCCTGGTTTGCCTAACAGGCTGCAAAGAGGTAGTCAAACAGGAATATGTAAATTGCTTTCTAGATTAAGACCAGCCTCTTGGGGAGTTTGGTTTTGGTTTTGTTGTTTCGATTCCTAAGGGGCGTGTGTGTGTGTGTGTGTGTGTGTGTGTGTGTGTGTGTGTGGTGAAGATCAGGCCACTGTGTCTCCACAAGGGAAGTACATGCAGTGCTAGACACAGTGGGAGGAGGTGTCCCCTCCCCCCCCACCTCAGCATTGTCCAGAGAGCCTTCACCCCCCCCCCCTTCCTTCGGAGCTCCTTTTATGTGGAATGAGCAATCATTGACTGTGGGAGTCGGGTCAGCTCAGTGCCTCTTCACGGTAAAACCTGTCACTTAGAAGAACCACCTGGTGCACATGGGTGAGAGCTTTTCTTTCCTCCCCGGCGGCAGGCTGAACCTGAGCGTGTTTATTTCCGGTGAAAAGCTTTCCCCATGACAACCACACCAGCCCGCCGGTTCCAAGAATGACAGGCACATGGTCTTCTGGAATTGCTTTGGGGATTTTTCACAAAAGCTGATGACGGAGCCTTGGAGTCTGTGGGTAGGGTGGAAGAGAGACACTGGATCAAAACTCATTTAGGGAAAGACACAAGAATTCTTTTCCTAGACATATGTCTTGTTTCCTTTTGACTTCTCTTTGTAAGTAAGCAATTCCTTCMACGAAATTCACTGGGAAGCAAGGCAAAGCCCCCCCGTTTATGATGTGGTGTCATTGCTAACAAGCACGAGGTTTCTTTTGGGGAGGCAATAAAAAATGTTGAAAGATTAGATTTTTTACAACCCCATTAATATAATAAAAAAATTGAATTTCACCCTCTAGATAAGTGAAATTTACACTCAAAATGCCATTATGAACAGGGCTCTAGGGTCAATAGCCAGGCTCACACCTGTAATCCCCATGGCTCCAGAGGCTGAGGTAGGAGGATCGCAAGTTCAAAGCCAGCCTCCACAACTTAGCAAGGCCTGAGCAACTTAGCAAGATTGTGTCTCAAAAGAAAAAAAAAAAAAAAAAGAAGAAGAAGAAGAAGGAGCTGGGGTTGTGGCTCAGTGGTTAAGCACCCCTGGATTCTATCCCTGGTACCAAAAAAAAAAAATGCCATTTTGAACTTTAGTAGAAGAAACCAAAAATTATTTTACGAAAATAAAGATACGGTTGCAAATATAAAGACGGTTTCTCAGAAGCTAGGACTGATATATTCAAAAGMCTTCCTAAATGATACATGACTTCATGGTGGGTAGGAAATGTGCGTGTGTTTTAATGATGAGCAACGTATTCCCTTTGAGTTTTTCTGAGATTCTCATTTGAACCTCTTGCCAAGCCCGTCACCTGCACAGAAGCAGAGRCTCCACGGTCACTACTCTTCTTCTCAATTTCTCTAACTTCACATATAATCAGGTGGATTTTCGCTGCCATCCAGCAGTTTTTCTGTACAGAATTGGGGAGCGTGGCTCATTTCAGATGAATTGGCTTTGCCTGCTCTTCTAATCCTGCAGCTGGGCGAGGCTGTCTTCTCTGTGTTTATTCTGTGTTTTCTGCTAATCCGGGGCTGTGGAAGTAACTTCCATCGCAGATAGCATTTGTAGTCATTTGAAGAAACAATTCAAACTCTTTCTCAAAATAATAACTCAAAAACACCTATTGAATTAATTGGATTCATATTTTCTAGTTCTTTAAATAAAKAACATTAATTTAACAAGTAACAGATGTCATTTTCTGCCATGTTACTTACTCTTTCAAATAAACCAGTATTTTCTGGAAAGCGGATCAGTGTGACCCGGGGTCAGGCCCCTGTGTGACTTGCCCCATATTCTGCCTGCCAGAGGAACCCCATTGAAGGAGCAGAACTGAGTCAAGGCCCCCCAGGCCTGGGATTCCCGGGCCCTCCTGTCTCGGGCTGCTTAGAGCTGGTATTCACCTATGGTGTGTTCATTTACATAAGCTCTTCTGGTTTCCTTAAATATTATTGTTTTCAGCCTATTATCACCTCTTTCTTAAAATTCCGTAAAGATTTGGCCGTCCTTTTATATTTATCCTTGAAAAAGAAAGCACTTTTCAGACCTCACACTGTGTTTTGTGAGTCCTGTGATTCTAGGATCCSGCAGGAAAGCCCATGATTGGCTCTTGCCAGGCCACCAAGGGTTCCTCGTCCACCCCAGAGCCTGAGGGTCCTGCACATCTGCTCCATTCACCCTCAACCTTGACTCCCCGTGAACACAGGGGTGTTTACACAAAGTGTTACAAGATGTGCATCTTGGGARTGAACTAGGATTTGGTCAACTGGGTGGACGGAGGCTGGGAGCTGGGCTTGTGGGAAGGCAGCTATAGCCTTCCCGTCGGGGGACCTGGCCCACCGTAGACAGCTGCAGGGAAGGGAAAGAGTTGCATCTCCCATTCCCTCCTTCAGGGCTGATGAGACTGTCATCCCTCTGGGGTTAGAGAATGTGCAGATGTCCTCTGAAAGCTGATAGTGTCTATCTTTTCATTCCTCCAAAGATTCTTGGTTGATTTTTGTAAAAAGACTTTCTAGCACACGTCCGATATCTGGTAGTTCAGACTGTGTGCTTTCTTAAATTATATTTATTTTTTAACTGATAGATAAAATCATGAAAATGCTAGGTATATATGGAGTGCTTTGTGATATGTCAATACGCACATACGTTGTGATGTTTAAATCAAGCTAAGCATATCTACTCAAACATGTGTCATTTATTGATGTTGAAAACATTCAAGATCCTTCCACKTTTTTTGAAGTATGCAGTACATTATTGTTTCTGAGGTCACCCTTCTGTGCAGTACTTTTTCCTTATACTCCCCTTGATTAATAATAGACTATATGGATTAAAGTTCAGAAAGCCTTATAATCAATAATCAATATATACTCTCAAAAATTTAAACTGTGATATTTCTGTTATCTAAAATTTAAAGCCATCTATGTTTAAACCACCCCCTCCCCCCAAAAAAAAATCCTTTTTGCCTTATTTGGTTTTTTGCYTGAGGAGTGGGATTAATTGATGGTCAGTCAAAATAGCCAAAGTACATTGCAGGTTGAAGCTGGATCTCAACAAAAAAGCCAAGGATGGGCTTCAGCCCMGCTGGCCTGGGTGCCCACCCTGCAGTCACAGAATCAGTTATGTGAGGGTGCGACGGGARGGGTTTTGTTCTTTTCTACTCCTGACTATTGATTGTTTTTTCATCTGTTTTATATTTTTGASAGTCAACTGGCCTACCAGAGACCCACCAATGCCCCCACATAATGACCTCAGCAGATGTCCTGGGCAGGGCAAGGTGACCAAATTTTTGATGTAATACACAAGCCAATTACAAGAGCATCTCCGTTTGCTAAGGGACACTCTCCCTCTTGCCTATTCACCCTGTATAACCTCTAAAGCATTTCCTTCTTACGGCTGATGGTATTTGATGCTGGGAGGGAGAGGCAGGGAAAGAGAGATGAATGGTGTGAGGTTCATTTATAAAGGTGTGTCTTTGGCATGGACACTGCACCCCACAAGCTGCCGCATCACCAGTAACGTGGAAAATATGCAAACTGCTGTTAGGAAAAAGGAAGGGTGTGTGTGTGCGGCATACGAAGTGCCTTGAATACGATTAACTTCCCTTCCCACGTAGTAAATAGTAGATAACTCCGATCAGAAAAGGGATTCGTGTGATTTATCAAGCTGAGCGACTGCATTTGCAGAGAAGCTGGAGGTCAATCTTGAAATCTAGGGCCAGAGGAGCACGAGAAAATTGCCAGGCCTAAGAAGTTAATCATAGCCTGGGACTGCTTCCATCTGTCTCAGGGCGACAGGGCTGCTGCACGGAGAGCCGGCATGCTTTATAGCAGCAGATCAGGAATTAATATTTTCTGCAAAACCTCAAGCATCATTTGCAGTAACTTGGGTTTTATAAAAATGGAGCATAATTTTGTATGAATAAATCACATTCAGCTAGAAATATGAGAGGCTGGAAAAAATTGCACTTGATATAAAAAAAARGGGGGGGAAGGGATGAGCAGGAAAGCCAGCATGAACATAGTTGTTGAAGCGATGGCACTCTTGGAGGACACAAATGGCCGCGTGGTTAAATTGTGCATATAATCATCTTCTGAAATGTCAGTCTGCAACTCGGGCAATGGCTGTGTTTTTATAGCCTTGGAGATGCATCGCCAGACTGTAACCTGTCTGCCCATCTGGCAATATCTCAGGTCCAAGATCCATTTATATTGAAATCCAAACAACTGCCATTGATTTATTCATTTATTCCACAAATATTTGCTGAGCACATCCGGCATACTCTGTGGGGATGTGGTGGCTGGGAGGCCCCCAAGCCCATGGCTTTACCAGCCAGAGGCGCCTTGACCTGGCGAGGAGAAGGGCTCCTTCAGGCTCATGTATTTGCTCGTCTCCATTTTGCCCT